ATTTGTCTAAACTAATGAGGATTTTTCGTTGACCAATAATGGGCATTTCTTGAATTCATTGATCCATTTTTCGTAAACGTTGCTTCGTTTGTGAACATTACATTGATGAAAAAGTTGTCTCTTCGAGTGAGAGCCCAATTACAAAATTCTAAACGTTGATAACAGTCATTTGCGGTCAGTTCTTGAACCTTTGATACATGATATGAATGGTTTTTGTGCTTTATCAGTATGCGTAAAATGCATTTGCGGCTAATTCCAGCTTGTCTTTTGATTTCGCGAGAACTAACGGATGGATTTATCAAAACTCTATGGACATTTTTAGACGATTTACCATTGCATACACGACAAATAATATGGATACAACAGGATGGTTGCCCTGCTCATTATTTAAGAATAGCAAGAGATACATTAAATCAAATGTTCTCAAATCGTTGGATAGGACGGAGTGGGCCCATTCATTTTTCGGCTAGATTACCAGATCTAACGCCCCTCGACTTTTTCTTATGGGGCTACTTAAAAAATAAAGTTTACGCTGAGCTTCCGACTACAATGGCTGATATGAGGGATCGTATCGTCAACGAATGACAGAAAATAACATCAGATACATTAAGAAACGTTAATGAGTCATTTATTTCTCGATTCGTTAATAAATCTAGATGATAAAATGTGGTGACCCACCTTGTATATTTACGAAGGTAATCAATCTTTTTTATCTGACGATAAAATGTGTTAATGACAACAACATAAAAATTAGATATTTGTCATAGTATAATTTATTTCTCGTTTGGTCATATTATTTCTCAACCCATTACCCACCAATGACCGTTTTTTGGGACGCATTTTTAATAACTGCTACTTCAGAATGAAATAAAATCTGAGATCGTACATCTCATCCTTTATAAAAATATTTAAAAATTTCCCTTTTTTATTTTAAATCATTAATTAATGACATAAAATAATTCTCATATTTAAATAAAAACAAACAATTGTTGCAAAAATAGTTCTATTTTTTTAGTACAAATATCATTATACAGTTATTTAACTTTTTTATTTTTTTTGCATTTTCGTATTGTGACGAGTAATGGGTTAAAGAAAAAAAAATAAATTCTAATAAATAATATCAATGAATAAACGAATCGTATTAAAAAATTATAAATTATTACGTTAGAAATGAAAAATCGTTTATATACACAACACACACAATCTAACACAAATTCTTGGCATAATTTTGTACGAAGGGGGGAACCTTCTTCTTCATGATATTAGTTATAAAATACGTAGAACCTTATAGCTCGCGATTCTCGTTGATCTTTTTATATACATCGCACGCGCGTTCTTTAAAACTACAACGATGTATGTCTGCCGCGTTCTTTCGCGGGCTAACTCAGTATATGTATATGTGTGTATACATTTGTGTATATGTGTGTTTATGTGTATGTATTACGTGTCTCTCTACTACGCGTGACTCAGCAGCCAACAATCTCATTCACCGCTGAACGAGAATCGTGATAAGCGCGTAAAAATACTTTTTTGCAGAAATATGCTCATTTTTAGAATAAAAAAAGAAAACAAGAAAAAAGAAAGAGGGCTAAAATAAAATGATAAAAAAATTAATAGTACGTCATATCTTACTTGTAAATTTGTTAACGCGAAAAAACGTTTTATCGTTAGATATAAGTACATACCTGTTGTGTATTGGTAAGAAAACAAAAATATAATCTCAGCCGATAATAAAATATTGATTCAAGTAAAGTAGTATTTTTTCTCTTTTTTTTTTTTTTTATGAACGTTTGGTCGGCAACAATCCATGTAAATCGCGAGCAACGAGTTCATGTGGATTTGCATGACGCGCCAAAATGATCTCATCTTTTATTTTTCACGAGGCATGAATCCTCGACCCATGTGTGAGTGTATACGTGTATGTATTCCGATTTGCATCAGTGAAATGTTCGTTTATGATAGAAAACACGTTTAGTAAACGATTTGTTTATACCAAATTTAAAAATGATTTTTTTTTTTTCATTTTAAGCCGATAGATTATAAACACCTAAAAGTAGACGATAAATGTTGCCCATAATTATGAAAGTGATCTAAGATAAAATGTAAAAAAAAAAATAAGTTTATCAGTTATTTCACACCATATTATTTTAAATTAAATTAATTCAATATAATTTTCACGATATTGTCAAAAATGAATAGTCAAATAGTGTTTATTATATAGAATTCATTTAGTGTTTAAATGTAATCCTTTAAATATCTCGAAACAAGATATATATGACTTAGAATTAAATCACTTTTATAATTATGGGTACAAATGATCTATATAGTATTTGGCCGTGAATTTTACTTGAAATTCGATCATTCTTCGCGTCCATAGTTCGTCATAGTGTTAGGAAAACTTTCTTCCCTTTCGATATGGTATATATATTTAGACGCGAAAATACATAGAGTCAACATGAACTAATACCAAGAAATCACGCGTGCTATTTCGATGGTGTATATTTTATTCTTATTTCGACGATTCCGTGTGAAAATGTCTAGAGCAAGAGAAGATCTATTTCCGTTTTAGTTTTAGTTCTACAACGAACGTTTTATTTATAACTCGTAACTTGCTTTTATAACACGTAACAAAATTAAACCATTATTATTATTATTATTATATTTCATGAGAATTTTATTTTATTACTTAACATTTATGTTATGTTCAATTGAACTAATAGATTAATTGAAACAAAAGAATTTGATATGGATTATTCTAGGTAATAATAAATGGCGATTAATTTTTATTCTAAGAAATGTAATCTTACTAGGAATCAACGATTGTTCTCTAACAGGATATTTCCGATTAACTAGAATGTAGTTTAAAAAAAAAAAACAAGATCATTTTTCTAATTCGCAATATACGTAGAAAACTCTAATCATATCTATATAAATAAATATAAGTTTTTCATAAAATACTTTAAGAGACGAATCAAAGGAAAGTATTTTCCTATTTCTTTTTTTTTTTGGTTAAATCCATTTCAACGTAATCGCGGTAAAGAATTGAGTCGTTCGTTTAAAAATGTTAAAATACTGTGTTCGGTTGTTTGCACAACTGATTGCCATGACGGTATTCAAATGAAAATTCATTCGACAAACATACTACTCGAATGTCTCTTTAGAAACGTTGACGAAGAAAAAGAATCGTCTGGAAGAACGAGAAACCCGTATATATATATAAACACATATATATATATATATATATATATATATATATATATATATATATATATGCAAAGGTGTCAAAACTTTTTCTAAAGCATTTAAAAAAAAAGAAAAAACTCCCCTTTATATAGTAAAGTAGTAAACGTAATTCCTTCTTCTGCTTCCGTATTTTTGATTATTATTATATTTCGTGCGAATAATGGTACACTTGTAAATGTACTATGACGACTTTCCGTCATCGTTCAAACTTGTCGGTGATTCCAATCAAGATTGCTGCGATCCGTGCTTGCGCGACCTAGATTCGTGTTTAGAAGTGGCTAGATTAGAAAATGAAACGTTGCTAAATTAATCATCGTAAAGATACGCGTATGTATATATGTACCGTATGTATTTTCAATTCATTTTTGTTTTTGACCAATTTTTCTAAATAATATTACAATAATAAAAACTTGAGAAAGAAATCGAAAAATAACCTGGCTGCATACGTCATTTGACAAATGTGTGCATCCCATGTATATTTTATTTATATTTTTTTTATTTTGTTTTCATCCAACGATGCATTCTCGCGAAAATATCCGAAAGTAATCGCGAACGGGCAACCTGAGTGAGTCATCGACGAATTTTCGAAAGATCGATCGAGTTACTAACGTTAAAGTATATTATCTCTCTTGCATTTCAAGACCAATTTTTATTTGTGATTAATCATCGAATGGGTAAAAGAAAAAAGGAAAAAAGAAAAATAAAAAGAATGAAAGAAAGAAGAGAGATAAGAAAAAAATCGCATTGGCAAATGTTGTTTGTTCTAATTGTAAATTTAGGAAAAAAAAAATAAAGAAAATAATGTCTATAAGTTTAAATATATACTATATGTATATATATCAAATAGCAAAGTATACTATATCAAATATATACTATATATACCAAACAGTAAAGTATATATCAAATAGTAAAGTATATTATATATCAAATATTATATTATATATTTTATATTATATATTATATTATACAATATATTTTATATTATCTATTATATTATATGTTCTAATTGTAAATTTAGGAAAAAAAAAATAAAGAAAATAATGTCTATAAGTTTAAATATATACTATATGTATATATATCAAATAGCAAAGTANTTATATTATATATTATATTATACAATATATTTTATATTATCTATTATATTATATTATATTTATATTATTATATTATATAATAATAATATTATTATTTTAATATTTATATTATATATATCAAATAGTAAAATATATATTAAATATATACTATACATAGCAAATAGCAATACAACATATATCAAAATACATATATACTTTCAAATAGAAAATCAAAGTATTTACATTGCAACGTGTGCAACGTAAAACATCTTCTCTTGCTTCTACTATTCACTGGATGCATTTAATGGAATAGTAGTAGGAGGTTGAATAGAAAGGGAAAAGAAATAAAAAAAAAAAAAATAAGAATGGAAGTCAGGAATGAAGGAAGGAAGGAAGGAAGGAAAATAGTAAAAAAAGGTACGCGTATGCGTGCGTGCGTTAGGTTCGTTCGTTCATTCGTTGGTTCGTTCGTTTGTATGGCATATACGGTCCTCGACGATTTTGTACTTACGACCGCCTCTGCAAATGGCATATGAGCTCAGAGATTCCGACGATCAGCACTCTTGGCTGGTGTTGCGTGCCTCTGCCTGCCTGCCTGCTTGCTTGCTTGCTTGCTTGCTTGCTTCTGCGTTACACGCATGTACGGATGCTGCTGCGGAATATAATAGCGGTAATACGATGGAACTGGGGCAGTCTTGCTTTGAACCGCGTCTTAGAAGCTACCCACCTGCTCTACGGATCCATTTTTTCTTTATTTTCTTTTTTTTTTTTTTTTGATTTTTTCTCTTGCTTCGAACAACATATTCCATGATCCGGTTTAACGTTGATTTTATTTTGATTTTATTCTGATCTTATTTTGATTTTATTATTCTTAAGAGAGAGAGATAGAGAGAGAGAGAGAGAGAGAGAGAGAATAAAATAAAAAATAAAAAGAGATCTACGTAGTGCAAGGAGAAGATATTTTTTGCTGCTGACATTTCAGTTGAAGGTTAGTTCTTTTCGATCGGAGACACACCAATCATTTATCTTGCGTACTTTCTCTTTCATTCGTGATTTTTTTTTCTTATTTTGTGTGTGGTGTGTGTTATATTTTCACACTTTTTCTTTTTAAATAAAAAATAAATAATAATAATTATAATGTGATGATAATAATAAACCAGTTTTTTAATCTAACGATCCCGATAGAGATGTTTACTCGTGCCATTTTTCTCTCTTGCTAATATTATATCGAACGTTTATACATTGTTTGAAAAACATCTGACAAGTAACATCTCTATATATATATATTTATGTTGGTGTATATACCTATTTACGTGTTAAAGCACGTTGCAAGAAGATTGAGTTTTGTCGTGTTAGTGATAATAATTTTTATCATACTTTAGACGATAATAATTTTCACCTTGCCAATGATTAACACGGTTATTCGTGTGTCTAATAGTATACATGCATCTTGTCTCGTCTCGTCTTCAATAATAATCGAATTTAATCGTGGTGTTGAATAGAACATATTTGGAACAAACATATTTGTTTAAAAGTATAATGGGACAACAATTACTGAAACAATGATTGTTTTCTTAAAAATTGCATTGGCAAATGTTGTTTGTTCTAATGTAATGCTGTGCATCTCGTCTCGTTTAGTTTTCAATAATAATTGATTTTAATCGTAGTGTTGAATACATGTGTGACAATAGTGTTGAAACACATTTGAAAAAAACATATATGTTTAGCAATGATCGTTTTCTTAAAAATTGCATTGGCAAATGTTGTTTGTTCCAATTATAAATTTAAGAAAAAAAAAAATATCTAACATACATAACATAAAGTTCAAATAGAAAAGCAAAGTATTTATGGTTGGTTTAAGAACGGTAGAATAGTATGCTTTAAAACGTGTGAAAAGGACGTTAACTATACGAGACAGTCGTGCTTCTCTCGTAATAGATTCTTTCCCTCGTATATATAATGGACCATTAAGTGAGTTATGTATTATATTAACCTACACTAACAATCTGTAAGTCTTTTCGAATTACGACAAGTTGTTCAATAATTTTTTTTCTATATAGATAATTATTAAAAAAAAAGAATAGAGATAAAATCAAGATAAGAAAAAAAAAAATGGTTTTTTTCTTTTTCGTGTTCACGATAATAACGTGATCTAAACGTGAAAACTATTATATTATACTGCGAGTAATCTATTTAGATTCTTATTAAGTTTGTAATTGATACAAGAATGGTTAAACGAGTTTTGTAAGAAAACACTTTACTACGGTGGACGGGGATTAAAAATTAAAAATTTATTTAAAAGTGTACAGTGAGACGGACACCTTGCATGGGATAAAAAAAAAAAAGAAGAAGAAAAAAAAAGAAGCTTTCACGTTTTTATCGTTAACCGTGTATACTTTTGATGCTTTAGTATATCATCTCCGTTATATCGGTCTTTTCACGACACTTTCGAAGCACATTCAATTTACGTAGGATGTTTTTAAATATTTTTTCTTTTTTTTTTTTTAATGATTTTTTTCTCTCATTTTTTGCTTCAGTACCATTTAATGAATATAATATGTGTATAAGATGTTTCTTTTATTTCTTTTTTTTTTTTTTTTTACATCCTTTGTATCGTAATACAATTGTTTATTGAGTTGTCAAATTTTTTTTTTTTTTTTTTTTTTTACGACAGACACAACATGGTTGTTATGTCGGTTCGATCACTCGGTAGGAATTTAATTTATGACGATCAATCGAACATGTAATTAACACCTGTCTACGTTCAGCATCTGCCTGCTTCTTAGTTATCCTCTTCCTTTTCTACAAGTTAAATTCAACATTTATTTACTAACCCGTGTAATATATCAATGGCATTTTAATAAATAATATAACAGTCATTTTAATCAGATATGCCTTCGGAAAAAGATCGAAGACAAAGATATGAATTTACTTTTGAAATTTTTTTTTTCCCTACAGCATCATTTCATCTTTTTTTTTTCTTTTTCGAATACATTATCATGAAGCTTTCAAATGACGTGTGTGCTGTCTATCGTTTGTATTATTTATTTCGATCTGGTGATATTTAACAATTTCTATGAATAATTTCTATATACGTGTCTCTATTTATCATTTATTTTAGGTCGGTAATTAATTCAATTAAATGAATTTATTTATAATATTGTTGTACGCATATCATAAATAATTAAAATGAATAATTGTGTTGCGGTATCGATTGATTTATTAAAAAAGTAACGTTACGATTATTCGTGTCAATTAAGATGGACAGGTCACATATATGACGTATGTGTATACATAAAAATAATAATACACTAATACTAATGCAAGTGATAGACAATCCCTAATGGGAAAAGACCATTAGATAAAATCAAAACGTAAAGGGGGAAAACAATATTTGAATAGATCTTAACGAAATAAGGTACCGAGGGTCATAAGTGAAGGGATTTTGAGCAGGGACAAGAACTTTGGTATGATTTGATGTTTGTGACAATAAATTCTAGTATTACTAACTCCAATTAATAATAATAAAAATAATAAAAATAATAATAATAATATATGATTATATCAGTAACAGTGTTATTTCAACGTTCATTAATCAGAATTATTTTCAACAGATATTACCGATAGTATGATTGTAATCGTAATTGGATTTATGATAAATCCCTTTAACACACCTTAGATTTATTTATAAAGATAAGAAATAACAATCGTTTAAAATGATATTATTCAAGTCGCAGTTTGTCATTGATTGTAATATATCTACTATAATTTAGCATAGATTTCTATTACGTAATCCAACTGCATGACACTGATTCGTGGACTCGTCTTATCTTATGACGTCATAGTAGCAATTTCACAATGATCTCTATGTGGTTCGTCTGGTGGTGAGGAAGAAGGGAGAAGGGAAAGTCTGGTTTAACCTTTTCTACCTTGTTGCGGTTTCTGACCTATCTTTCTTTTTTTTTTTTTTTTTTTTTTAACACGATAGATAAAACTTAACGTTTCCGCGGAAGCGAAGATTAATAAAGAAAATATTGACTTTGTTAATAATCGTTTTCCGGGGACTTGATAAGGTTTTGATTTATCAAACGAATCTTTCCATATATGGTATAAAATGTGTTGTTTAAACGATTAATAAGAATAACCTCTGACTCATCATAATTGGTTTAAGAATTGCACACGCACATATATGAGCATATCATTTGCATATGTATTATATTATATTTCTATCTAGCATTGTAAAAGAATATTCTTCGAAAAAATGTCTTGTCACTCTCTGTCGCGAGATTGTAAATGCATTTGATAATCTCGTCTAAGTGCTATTTAGTCTGCGGTATTGATAATTACTAGCTGTATTATAACTGATACGCCCATTGGGCTGTCGTTTATTCTTGCTCGATGCAATTATGATTATGCTTTGTGTGCGAATCTTTCTTATTAATCGTGCACTTTATTAAAACATTACTTTTTTAATTTAACGCTTGTTCAATCGAATTTTTATAATTATATTGATTAAAATATTTTAACAATAACGAACCGTATCAAAATTTATTCAAAGTTAGTTTTGATCTTGAATTTTTACTTATTCTTAATTATGATGTTTTTAATTTAAAACCTCGTCTCGTATATACACATATATTAATCGTTTATTAAATATATTTATAAAATAATTTATTTAAATTATAAGTTATTAAATAATTATTTTATTAAATAATGGATTAATTATTTATTAAATATTTTATTACTATTTTATTATTTAAATTATAAATAAATGTAATAATTATAACATTAATATATTAATATTAAATATATTTAGAATATATTTTTAATATAATTTTATTTAAATTATATATTATAAAATAATTAAAAAAATTATTCTATATATTATATATATATTTATTATGCATAATAAATTTATTGTATATATATTTGCATATATGCATTTATTAAATAAATCAACGATTTAGAAGTGATCGATAAATATTTGATACTATCATGTATCTATCGGGTGGAAGGATGAAATTGAATAAAAATAATTACAAAGATCACGAGGAAGAGAGAGATAGATGTTGTAAAATAGAAAAAAGAAATGAAAAAAATAAAAAGAAGGAAAGAGTAATAGAACACGAAAAGGGAAAGTTTAATGTCACAAGCCATGTTTGGCGTTCGACGAATAGAAACGATTTGCTTAGAAGACGTTAAAAGGAAACACGATTTCGTGAGATACGAGCGTAGTAACAGTCGGCACAATGCCAAAAGAAAAAGGATCGATGGTTGCTCCCTTGGTTGCAAGGCGTGCATAAATCTTCCGAACGTTTGTGGCAAGGGCAACGATAAATACGACGCGATTGGTCCTTCGTATTCTCTCTCTCTCTCTCTCATTCTCTCATACTCTCATTCTTTCTCTTTCTCTTCTATCCAAAGACACGCACGCAAGCATGGTCTCTCTGTTGTGAATGTAAAAAAAAATAAAAATTAAAATAAAATGATTACACTCTAAAGGTAAAAGACATGTTAATTGAAATAGGACGTAGCTAATTTGCTCCCTGGATGAATATAGTGATCAACAAAATCGGCATACCAGTTTGAGTTCAACCTACAATTTTGAAAGCTTACCCCCCCTTGCCACCCACCTATCAAATTCTAACAAACGGAACCACACACGAGCAAATAATACCGCGTTGTTCACTGTAATTAATTTCGACGTATCCAATCGTATAATAATTTTCATCTAATCGATTCGAAGATTCGATAACTTTCGTTTAATTTACGTTAGAGCATATATTAAAAAAGGGAAAAAGATTCTCAACGTTTTTGATTTCGAATCCGGCATTACGACGTGTTTCCTCTCATCCCTTCCACCCCGCGCACCTGGTGCAGGTTTCGGTTAGTTCAAAATTAAAGAGTTTTTTCAGATAGGTGGTGATAAATCGTTGAGAAAAATTGAGCTCTCGTATGAGAAAATATTTTTCTATCCTTTTTTTATAT